AATGACATCATAAAAAGAGGGACAGTGTTAAGCAGAGAACAAACACAAAGTTCAGTCTTTCTCATGACCAAAATGGGAGAAAATAAAACAAAAACAAGCAGCACTTTCGGTAGTTGTTTTCCCCTTTAAGAGTTCTCGCTCACACAAGATATAACAATGTGCTCAAAGTGACATTCAGCTGCTACACAAGTGATTTTTGTTCACATGAATATAATAAATGTCTGAACTCAGCAGGACGTCAGGACGCTGGCTCTGACATCATCCCAGACACGCCCCCTCCTCTTCATGCTGAATATCTGAGTAGTGTACCTTTGGCAAAAGCAGATCCAGAGATCCAGAACTGCATGTTAGCCTCTCAGAATCGGGAAAAACATCATCTAAAAATCAAGAATAGGTCAGAGGAACTCAAGATGTGGTGAATTTTAACGCACCCCATCGTAATCTGTCTGGAAAACCCAATAAAACCAACAAGTATAAAATCTGCTCCCTAGTTTCTGAATGATGCCACTAAAGGGGCAACAAAGGGGAGTTCTTATGACGATTCGATTCAGTTTGATTTACTTGTTTTAGTCGTATCCTAACTTTGCACCTATAGATAAGTCAAGTTACAACAACAACAACAAAAAAAAGAAAACATCTTCAAGACATGGTAATATATTAGCGTGTTAAACAAGTCCAGATTAATCACTTGCTACTTTAGACAATAAATTTGATTAAAATCTGGTTCACACTAGCAGATGATAATCAATCACCAATCTCACTGATTTGGCATTAGGTTGCAAAAAATCTGAACGGAGCCATTAAAAAAAATGTAATTAAATCAAGAATAAATGCTCATTGCTTTTCGCTCTGTCCATGTTGGAGAAAGGAGGAGAATCGGGCTTGAAGGAAACCGTAACAAAAAGGTTAATTTTACACACAAATAAAATGGCACGGATATACACTGGAAGCAGAAATGCTGTTAAAAAGTTTCTCTTTTTCCCCAACCAGGCTTTTAGCTAGGAATATTCCATAGGCTGGACACCTTTAAGTTTCGCTCATTGTAGGGGGCCTGAAAAATCTTGAAATTCAGACTCTTTGAAATGCTATTTCCTGCATTTTCAGGTGAAATGCAGCTAACTTTTTGTCTTTTTTACAGCGCTTATTTTGTCCTGATTATGGGAAGTATATGTGCTGGACTAAAGGTGAAAATTTCATAAGGAAGACATGAGATAATTTTTAGGTACAATATTGTTTCATAGGTTAATTCAAACAATCAGAAAGTGTAATGCTACGTTCACACCGCACGCGCTCTCAGCAGTAAATTAGCACCTGCTGCTTCATTTTTCATGCTTGTGCACATCAAGGTCAGACGCACCACAAGAGCCTCTTAGACGCTCCTGAAGCGCGTCCAGTAAAGTGAGTACAGATGCATCTGATGCTTGTGGTGATCCTGTGTTCATTAGCAGAGAGCGGCTTTGCTAAATCTGCTGTGATAAAGAGTAGTTTTAATATATTTTTAAGTGAGAAAGTCCACCTTAAAACATTGTCTTTGCAGTCAGTTCATCAAGATTACCACCCTGGCTTAAGATATTATTTTGCTGTCAGAGGGGCGCAGACCCCACATACCTGCAGTTTGTGGCACGGATCAGCTTCTGATTGGTTGATTTGGTGCGTCGAGCAGCAAATATTAAATTTTTCCAACTCCAGCATCTGCTGCTTGTGGAATTTTGAACATTTTAAACAAAGTTTCTGGGGGGAAATTAGGGCGTACCAAAGCTGTACCTCCCAAAAACAGAGATCTCATTTTATTATTTTTTTTTAGTAAAGGGCGTAAAATCTACGCCCGTACGCAATGCTAGCTAAAAGCCTGCCCCCAACCCCTCCCTACACAGGCACCTGAACAACATACAACATGGGTGGGAGGGAAGGAAGTCTTTCTTATATAAAAAATAAATTGCATATAATAGGAAGAACTGGCAGCTAACGCACCACTAACAAAACAACAAGCCGCTCGCAACCTGGACGCCTGATTCAGCATCTTTCAGGTGATTGCACATCCTGAGGGGAGGAAATGAAAACATAATAAACCTCACGCCATTATTTTCTATATCAACACGCCCATCTACTCCATATCAAGAACCTGTTTTTGGTTAGCAGACTACAATGCTATAAACAGCTCTGTCTGGAGAAATGCATATTCAGAAAAGCCTCATCACTGTGCTAAATCCTCTGGCTTCCCCAAACCAACACCCCTTTTCTTTAAAAAACAGCAAAAAGGGCTATTTATTGTGAGAAGACGGTAAAAACACAAAAATAAAAAAATCATCACCCTGCTCGCCTACAAACATGCTTGTTAAGACAATTTAGCACTAACCTGATTGTGTCAATTGGAGCGTGGATGTATGTGCAATTAGACTAAATTACACTAGCAAGCAGAGATTTATAAAACAAAATGTCAGAAAAACTACAACATAATGCAAATGAATGAAATGCTTCCTAATCATGCCTGCTTTCCCACTGAGCCAACTCATCTGTCCTCACTAAGACAGCAGCTTCCATTGCCCTCCATCAGGCGCTGGCTGCTAGATTTTATTTTGATTAAAATAACAGATTTACAGCAACTTTGTTTAAATATATATTTTTGTAAAATCTATTTGTTTAACATAGCACTGCCTTTAAAAGTTGAATAGGAAGCAAATGTTTTAATACGACAGGCAATATTTCTAAAAAGCCAAATATGTTGTTCTTTCGAGCAAAGGGAAGAGTGGAATAGCCATCTTCCAGCCTGGACCAGCAGTATGCAGCAACAGGTAGGGGAGGGGCCCAATCTGGGATTTCCTAATGAGGACTTTTGGAAACTTTTCAAGACCCTGGTGCTACTTGATACTGATAACTGGGCCCATGCCTGGAAGAGATCAGACACCAGTCTCTGTACATAAACCAAACAAAACGACAAAAACTGTCTGGAAGTACTAAAGGAATACATGTATAGAATAACATAAACCTGCTGCAGTTCTACTTTTCTCTTTCTGCTGAGGAGAAAAGGGAGAGGAGCACACTTTAGGACCGTCGGCTCGTAAAAAGACAAGCGGTAAAACACAGGAGGAGGAACTGAACCAGCAGAGATGCTCAGCATTACAGCCGAGGAAAAGAACGCTGAAAACAGAGCAAGATGCAATGGGCTTTCTTAGGCGATAAACATCTCACAACATCAGCCCTAAGTCATAACTGACATCCTGTGTCAAAGTATTTGGTGTTTTTTCCAGAACATTGTACGAGAAGACAGCAGTAGGACTCCAATTCAGCATTTCCAGTATGAAAAACATTGCATGACAGGGACCAATTGGCAAAACAAAAAAAACCCCACAACATTGAATATACTCATGGCTTCATCAACACTACCTGAGTTATATTTTATAATTCTGTATTTAGCAACTATATATATATAGATATATATTTTTTCTCTGCAAAGTAACAGCCCAGAGCCATTCTTTTAAGGAGTATTTCTAGTGTCACCTATAGATTTTCTCTAGTTAAGATAAAGGTAATTCATTAACATAAAGTGCTATTAATCCACAATTAAACCAAATTAGATTTTCTAAACCAGAGGACCCCCCCCCCCCCCTATGAAACAAAAATGTCCTTTAGAGATGTTACTGCAGACCAGATTTGGGCTCATACGATCCCTACACTTAATCAGACCTTACAAGTGATTTTAACATGAAAGAAAAGAAGTCAAATCTGAAGTTTGTGCAACAAAGAGTAAATTGCATTTTAGATAACTTTTTTTTTTTTTTTTTGAAAAAACTGAACTGCAGGCTACACAAGCGTCTCAGATGAGCTCGCAGCTCAACATAACCCATTCTCCACCGTGTTATTGCACACTGGCTAACGAAGCAGTCAAACGTCTATCCACAGACCTCCTTTTAAAACATTAGAACACAGTTTTGACACAGCTGGTCGTTTAGGAAAGGTGGCGATAAAACGAGTTACTGTTGTGTTTTATGTGGCGATGAAAAGAGATTCATTAACACCAGTAAACATGGCGGTGAACAAAAAAAAATATAAAAAAACAACTGTAAAATGAAGTATGTTCCTTTAACAAATGAACAGAAACAGTTTGTAAAGATATCCTGAGTGTTGCAGCTGAACAAAGAGCACAAACAGAACATCCAACCAGATGCAATGCTTCTTATTTTCATTTAAATGATAATCTTATGACCGTCTGAGTGAAATGTAGAGCTTCAACAGAACAAAATTACCAGAGACCCGATATTAAAATCTTTAGCACACCTACTGAACAAATGACGTTAAGGGGGCGTGGCTTTCCTTCAAATTCGGCACTTGAGTACCTCGGGGGTCTTACAGCAATGCAAATAATACTTATGTTAGGTCAGCTGAAACGGCATAAAACAACTGCAATACATATACAATTTCAGGGCTCTGAGTAGTTTTCTCTAGAGGATTTAAGACAAGTTTCTCCCTCACAAGCTTTCACTGCCACCGTAACGGGATTGCAAACACCTCTACTATCTTAAAGGCATCTCTTTAAGGGTCGTCTCCTTTTGCCACAGATTCTGTGTGTTTAACGTCCGTCGTATCTACAGTAAACTCATTCGAATGAGTGGATAAAGAAAATGACGGAGACGTCCCATAGCCGGAACGACGGCTGCCACAGTTCGACAGGATAAAGGCTTGAGGAGGTGCAGTCCGAGACACCTTCCTTGGCTGAGCTCGCCAGCGTTATCCCTTAAAAGCCATGAGACGAGGACTACCACAGCAAGAAGTCGTTAAGGTCCATTCATTGTGTTGGAGAGGCACCGATCGACTCCTAACATCCATCCCGAGCGTGTCTGTGTGTTATTCTGGTGCACTCCCAAATTAAAAAAAACAAAAAATTAAAAAACAAAACAAAAAAAACGTTTTAATAAACCCGAGTTTCCAAGGAAAATCATGCTTAGCTATCAGTGTTTTCACAGTTGTCACTTTATCCGATGGGATTTGTTGGGTTTTTTTTCTGTTTTTTTTCCAAGGTAGATAACTGCAGCACCCAGAGGAGAAGACAGTAAGCACTGGAGATGATCTACCTCACTTATCAGGTCCATCCTTGGTCTCATCATAAAATACTACTCTTTTTGGATCTGTAAGAGCAGACAGAGAAAGAGAGAAACGGTCACTCACTGCCATCCCAGGACAAAAATCATCAATAGCATCCAAGCAACAACAAGCATAAAAAAAATACATGTAAAAACATCTTTGCATAGTTTTAAAACGATTTAGTTTGACAACTATGACTGTTAATGCAACGGATCACAACGTTATGCTACACAGCTAAAGATCGGATGTAAAACTTTTCTTACCTTGTTTTTGCAAATTGAAAATAAATTCCATTTCTGTTTAAGGAAAAAAAAAGAAAGAGGTTAGGTTGTAAAGTAGATTTAAAAAGTGCTACATATGATACAGCATAAACATCATCCAGGTTATGATCATTCTGGCAGCACTTTCTGGAGTGGAAATTAATGGTGGGAGCGAAGTAAGCATATTACAATCATTAAGGTATTTTTATTTATTTTTTAAGAGGAACAAGCTTTAAAAAGAAAACTACTGTCTATATAGGGCATGTTGGCTGAAAATGAAAGTAGAGCTGCTTTGTTTTATCCCTAAAAAAAAAAATTCTGTCCATCGTGGAACACACTGGATTTAGTAAAGGTGGGTAATCTTTAGGATTTTCACCTTTCTAACAAAAACTTGGTTTTGGACAGGATCTCTCGCATGAAGTCTTTATAAAACCGGGACAATTCTTCAGTAGAAGACTGCTGCACCTCAGTGCACCAGACTTTATAATCCACAGCTCCCAGCATAGCCAGCAAGTGTTCACATCCATACCATTACAGTTCTTCCATCTCATCTGCAACTAAGCAGCCATTTTTCCTTTTATCTGACACATTTTTCATTAAAACAGCGTCATCAATTTTAAGCTTTTTGTTCCTTATTTTAGTCTTTTGTGCCTTTATGCTTAATTTCCCATTCTCCACTGAATTTCTCCACCATGAGACAATAAAGAGACTATACTCTTTTTTTAAGTAAATAGCAAAAATTCCTTCTAGGTCCACATGAAGGAACCCTGTTGGTAAATCATCCTCCACATAACTACTGTGAGAAACCAAAGAGAGCTTTAACCCTTTATAGGACAATCATTAAAATACTTCAAATACTCCAATACTTGAATCAAAATTTCCAGCCAATGGTGTTATTGGAATCCAGGACAAGACCTTATTATTTTTGTAACATTGCAAAAAATATGTATATTTTGATGACAAAAATTACACTTAAAGTAAAAACAAGAAACGGTCACAATATATTAAGAAAAATAACAAAAGTGCTTCAATAAGAAATTCATGAAAAATAGAGTGAAATAAACCATTTTTTGTTACATCATAACCATAGAGCATTAATGCTGAATCTGGAACTTAGAGGTTTTACTTTTTTCACTTGGCTTATTAAATTTTTTACTTTACTTTTCAACTTTTGAATTAGCTTTTAACCTTTTTTTTCAACTTACAACTTCATTTACAGTAGGTAATGTATCATCCAAGGGCTCACTAATTGGTCAAATGCCAAAATAAGATGTACAGCCATGTAGCAGTATCTTTGCAGAGTGGCTGGATATAGATCTTGTGCTTCTAGACCTCACTGAGGGAATGGGGGTATGCAAATGATCAAAAACGTTGACTTGCTCTATAAAAGGTTAAATGGCTCTAATCATTTATCAGGTTTTGGTTAAATCCTTCAACTGTGGAGCCAACTATGACTCATTTTTTTATTAACACAGTGTGATACTGGCTCACTTATAAATATAAACATAACTGTTCAAAAGAAATGTTGACTGCGCCTCCTATATAATTTCAGTGAAGTAGTGATTAATAAACAGCGTCAATAAAGAGCATTTTCCTGTTTCCTGTTTTGTTTTTGATAAACATGTATTTATTGGGAGCTTAAATTTCAATTAACCCAGAAATCAGAAAGAATAAATATGTTTTTTTTTATTAATTAGCATTTAAGCACCTATCATGACTAAGTAGAAAATGTCACTGCTGCTTTTAGGGATCAGCTTAGCTGGGACTCAAGTTTCTAATGCTTTAGTCAAGTTGGCTTAGACAAATACATTAATTATAATATAATTAGATCCATTTTCTGTTTATTGAAAGTCCAAAAATCTCTGTTTATAAATAGCCCTTTGAGAAATCTTTAGCAAAAAGAGTCTAAAAGAATAAAAATTTAAAATGACCACTGTTCTAGTCTTAAAAATGACATAAATCCAAAAGTTCTCATTCTCCATGCAATAAAGATTTCTCATGAACCCCGATCTTATACATATTGTCAAATAAAGACTGAAGTGATCTACGGCTTAGGGATAAAAACTGTCTTTGATAAGAGCAGAGCAGGAAGGTTACCTTTAGTGTGATAGGTGACAGCAGCTTTCAGGTCGAAGGAACCCCAGCTGGACCTCCTGCCAAAGTCTTTAGGGTGGATCAGTTCCTTAGACGAGCCAAAGGACACAGTGGTCTGTTGGCCCGCTGCAGGCTTAGCACCGGTGTCTTTACTGGGGGCCAGCACAGAAGGACCCACGCCCTTCAACTCCACTTTCGTCTTTTCCTGGACACTTGGCTGCAGCTTATCCTCCTCGCTCGCCACACAAACAGGAGAACAAACAGTGGATACTTGGCAGGGGGCACAAGTCCTTTTCTCTGCTTCTTGAGAAAAAGCTTCAGCTTCTAGAAATGATGGGCTAATGTCAAAGAGGGGCTGGGCAACCTCGGCTGCGACAGCCTGACTCTGGCTTTGAGAAGTCACAGAAGTCTGGTCCTCGGCAGGCACGAATCCACTTCCCCCTTCGAGCCCCAGGTTGGGCTCGTTGATGAAGGAGAGCCCCCACTGATTCTGGAAGATGTCCCCCAGGGCTTTCTGATTTGTCTGAGCAGCCGGTGGGTCGAGGTGACGAGCGCTCGGGAGCACAGGTTGCATATTTAAAGGGTAGATTAAAACAGTACACTTTCTGTGCTCGCTTGCTTCTCCGTCTACTGGACTCGTTGTAGAGCTACTGTTACTCTCCAAGGAGGATGCTACATTCTCGCCACCTGGGATCGATGGGGCTGATTGAATACAACTAGCAGCAGGAGCAAAGAAGGTACCCATAGACGGGCAGCCGTTCCCATTCCCAGAAACAGGACCGTTAGTAAAGCTAGCTGAGGTGATAGTTTTCATAGCAGACATAGGGACCTGGGACAGTCTCACAGGAGGAGGTGCTGCCTCCCCTCCACCTTGAGCTACTTTATTGAGGTTCTCTTTTACTTTGCTTGCATAACTGATCTTGGGAACAATTTTAGCACTGCTATTGTCCACAGGAAAAACAGGAGGGGGCTTAAACAAAGTCCACGAGTCCTCCTTTGAAGGCGAGGAAAGCTTACCCTTGTGCTTTTCCTCAGCTTTCTTACCGAAGGTGCCAGCTGCTTTACCGTCTGAGTTTTTCCTCTGAGATTCAACAACCAAAGTCTCTGACATGACAGCCCGCTTAGCTGTTGTCTGAGCTTCTACTTTAAAACTGGATCTGAAGCCGTCAAGTCTGGACGCCGTTCCTTTCTCGGGCCCCTCGACGTTCAGAGCTTCCACCTCCTGCGTAGTGCTGCGGGGCTGAACGTCTCTCTCTTTTTCTTTTATTGTGTTATCGGCGCTCTTGGCGTTGCTGCATCGGCTCTTTCGCTTCTTCGGGGTGGTATATCCGCCTTCAGAGCCACTGCCATCATTGTCCTTAATCGAATAGCCATTCGTGATGAGGCCACAGTTCACCAGCCCATTCTGAAGCAAAGCAGAGTCTTTCTCATCTGAAGGCTCAATCTCATATTGACTCAAATCCAAGCCCTTCTCCTTGTCATTTTTTAAGTCCATATTTTTCTTATGTTCTGACAATTTGCTGCCCGCTTTTGGAACAGAGGTGTAGTGCTTCTGCATCCCTTTCTGCTTCACATTTGGATTACCTAAATGTCTATTTCCATTACTGCTGGAAGGATGGGACACACCAAACGTGTAGGGCAGTGGTGGATTCTTCTCCCCTTCTTCGTCACAGATGTTTACATTTTTATTGCCTGCAAGGAAAATCAAAATCATTTAAATGGAAAAAGGTTTCAGATCACTTTCCTCTGTACCTTCTTAGCATTTAAGAGGTGCTCAATATAACGAAGACAGGGAATATAGATAATATTGCAGATGCTATTCCAACAATAAAACATAAACATCAATGTAGGCACTGGGCAGACAGTAAAGTCTATCCAACTGCCTTAATTTAGGGCTAAAAAGATTTAATCTGATTAATCAATTATTGAAAGAATTGTCAACTAATTCAGTAATCGATTAATCGTTAAATGGAATATAGAAACTGTAAAACATGTCTTTAGCTGTTTATATAAACATTTTGCATTTAAGATCAAATTAACTAGTGTCTGTCAATATGCTCTATCCAGAAACGTTTTAGTTCCAACTGGTTTAATTTCATAAAAAATATTCTTTAAAAAACCTTTTGCTGATTATTAATCGAAAAATTAATCAGTAGATTAATCAATTTAGAAAATATTCGCAAGTTGCAGCACTAGTTCAAAATATAAATGGCATGCAAAATTTGAATTTATTGTATTGAAGGTATAAAACTCTACCAAAGCCTGCATCCACAAGTGGTATTTGCCATTTCCATATTACAACCCTTAACACAATGACTATGGCTTTGAATAACATGCAGCTTCATGTTGTATTGTACTTGCAGCATTGCAAAATTGAGCAGTTGGCTACAAAAAAAAACAAACCAAATCATATCTCATGAGATATATGGTAGAAATAAGGATTTCCTACAATTTCATCGCCACTTGAATACAAAAATAAACAACATAATTAGTGCTATGTAATGACTTCAGTATGAGCGTAACATAGTAGTTATTTACCGATGTGAAAAGGAACTAAAAGTACTCAGGGGTCTTCCACATTTAAAATCTAAAGAGTCATTTTTCCTTGATTGGTTCAGAGCCGCAAAATGTTACATGACTTTTTAAGAAAACACAACCTATTATTTTGTTAAATATCTGACATATGAAACCTGTTGCCATCATAAACAACCAACTGTTCATTTGTATTTATAGCTTTAAAGAATACAGAAAAACTTCATGAAGATTCATAAAGATGACACATGGATTTGTTTTTTTTTCTATAGGCTATTATTTGCTGTAAAAGAAAAATCTATATAAGATAATTTCATAGCTAATTAAAGGAAAAACAGCTCTAAAACATAGTTTTGGTTCTTTCAATGTCATTCTGTTGTAAAAAATTGCATCAAATCAAAGCTTCTAAGACACAGGTCTCAACAGGGGGACCGCGACCCCAAGGGGGACTATGGAGGACCAATTTTTTTACCACTAATTGAAATGTCTTTAAATACTCATTTACATGAATTCAACACAATGTAGTAAACAAACTGAGGCAGAAGATGTCTTTCAGTCATCAATGTAGACATTCAGCAAGACACAGGAGCTCTTTCAAGCTGGGCACCGTTTCATTTACAACACCTGTCCCATCAACCAGAAATACTTGAATAATGTCAGGGCAAAATTACTTGTTACATTAGAGTGACTATAGGACAAGTTGGATATAACAGTTTCATACAATATATATAATTAGGGGGTCCCTGCTCCATCTAGCCATCAGTTTGGGGGTCCTTGGCCACTAGTTGGTTAATTAAATCCTTTTTAACCACTATTAAGAGCCTCTGTAGAGGGTCCAAACAGCCACAGGTTGCAGACTCCTGGTATGAGAAATATAAATCCATATAAATCTTTGATTTAACATATTATCCAAAAGCTCCACATTCAGCAATTGCAACTATACTAAAAACAGGTTTGAAATGGATCATTTCTTTTGATTTGTAGTCATTTAAAAAGAAAAGATCCTCTTTTAAATGATCATAGATATATTTATGAACCTATTATGTAGCTTCAAAGATTACTATAAGATCCAATATTATAAGTATTTAAAATACACATAGATCCAGAGTAAAGCATGTCGGGCCTAAAATGTTTAAGAGAACTGCTGTGTCAACATAGGAGTTCCCACTCCATGGCGTTTCTCCACCCTCATGTTTCTGTTGCACACACAGCAGTCCGTATATAGCCATACCTAAAAACATAGACACTAATGTCTGCTTTTCAGTAAACATTTAGACTGAAGCTATCTGACAGCTCGGGTATCTTTGCTGCTATCTGCGTGGCTGTATGCTGAGCAGACACGCAAAGGGCCCCACTAACGGCTAACGTTAGCTAACCCTGACCCACCGGGACCCACGCAACGGTCGGTCGCCATGTCATTCCTACCGAGCTGTAGCTCAAAAAAAGAAGGAAAATAGAGGTTAAAACGAGAGAATACCTCACAAATTTATATATATATATTTTCCAGATTAGCAGGCATTCTGGCGTTAGCTCGCACTGAGATTCTAACATGGCCGACAGGAAATGGCAGCAGAGAAAATTCCAGTGGAAGCCGGTGTTGTTTCCTGAGCTGGACGCAGACATGCTGGAATCAAACACACCAACTCCGGCTGTTTCAGGGGGAAGGGGAATGACGCTTTTGTATCCACACAGAGGAAACTGGCTAGCAGTTTTTAAATTTGTTTGGTTACATTAGGTGAAAAAGAAAGAACCCGGCGAACACAAGGTCAATCCCCGATGTGTCAAAACCACCAGGAGCAGCGACAACTGTCACGCGACGTCAGCTAGCCTGCCTGCTAACACAACCCCGGGGCTTTTCAATAAACCGAGCCGACCGTTAGTTTACTAAGCAGCTTTACTTGTATTTAGTTTTAACACCGCTAAGCTAACAGCCTTCATCATGTTAGTTAGCAAATGCTAGCCAGCTCGCGGACATTAGCCAACTTTTTCCGGATGGCCCGACCTGTTTTCTTCGCCTGCGTTTCCTGATGCTGGCACTGGAACTGGCTCCGATCATGTTTCAGACAAGCCGTGCGCGGGAGGGAGCCCCTGTCTTCTCCGTTGTGGTGCTGCTGCCTGTCTTGTGCCCGATCTTTGGGGTGTTCCTCCATTGAAGTGAAGAATGTCGGGGCTCGTGCTCCACAGCCAGCGCGTTAGCTCAGTGCACGGCGGCGCAGGACGGTCCAATCACCGGCGGAGGGAAACGGAAGCTATTTGGAGCTTCTGTAAACGTCAGCAGTAAATGGCTAAAAATGGCTCTGTTTTTGGGTGGTCACAGCTCCCCACAATAAAAAAATAAAAATAAAACATCCACGTGTAGAATATGTGCAGATGATTTTTGCACGACTTTGTTTGTTTGAGCATATGTTTGTGCATTGATTAGAACGAGCATTTGGAAAGCTTTTTTTTTTTTTTTTTTTTGAGTTTTTGAGAGAGGGGAAAGGGATTGGGGTGGGGTTCGTGTAAGAGCCAAAAATCATATGACCCGAGGCGCTGCCACGTCTCCAGCCAGTGGACACACTTTGGTAGAGGGGTCAGGATGAAACCAGCCCCTCTCCTAAAATGGAAATGTCACTCATTGATCTGTTACAGTCTTATTTAAATCCAAAGAAATTACCAAAAAGTGTAGCAAAACATTTAAATATAATAAAAAATCGACAATAAATGTAAGAAATATATAAAAGGGTGAGTTTTGTTCTAGAAAGGGGCCAACAGGGGCCCCTGTAAAACTGCTCCTGGCCACTATATTGCAAACATCGAACAAGTCCTTTTTTTTTAAAGTTTATTTTCCTTGATTTAAAAAGGAAAGACAATTTGCGGATGGATTGTTTGTATTAAAAATAAGAAAAAACATCTTATTTTAAGTGTTTAGAAAATAATTATTTTATTTGTAAAGAAAAAAAAAGCTCATTTTTGTGGCAGATAATTTTATTTGTCTCCTCAAGTGTAAAACAAATGCACTTATTTTGATAAATTGTTATTTTTTTAAGTTTATTTCCCTTGATTTAAAGAGGAAAGACAGTTTGCGGATGGATTGTTTGTATTAAAAATAAGAAAAAACATCTTATTTTAAGTGTTTAAAATCTAATTTTGTTATTTATAGAGGGGAAAAAATGCTTTTATACTTTTGGCAGATCATTTTATTTGCCTCCTCATATTTAGAACAAATGCACTTATTTTGATAAATTTTGACCTTTGTAGGTCCTTTTTTTGCTGTGTCATGCTAGATCAGCTTCTTATGTTGATATGCACTGGCAGACAAAAGTATAAATCGTAGGTCTTCAACAGGGGGTCCGTGACCCCTAGGGGGTCCACGGAGGTCCTGCATGGGGGCCGCGAAAGTTTTGGTTGATTAGACTTTTTTTTTTTTTTATATTCCCCCCTTGCAGTTTTTTCCACTAATTAAAATGTCTTTAAATCCACATTAATATGAATTCAACACACTGTAGTAAACAGATAAATGGAGGCAGAAGATGTCTTTCAGTCATCAATGCTCACATTCAGCGACACACCGCAGCTCTTTAAGCTGGGCACCGTTTCATTCACAACACCTGTCCCATCAACCAGGAATCAGAATCAGAAATGCTTGAATAATCCCAGGGAGAAATTACTTTAGTTACTTTACTACATCTGTAATAGAGTGACTATAGTGACTATGTAATAGAGACTATAGAGCTTTCATTTTTAGCCTTACTAAGATAGGATCACAGTTTTAATCTGTGAGATCAAGAGTCTGCAACATTGGCTTTGTGGTTCGCTTAATTTACTAAATAATGTTCTCTAGCCATTCTTTTGTTTGCATGTGTTTGTTTTGCTTTTGCTCTGTGCCCCTATGAAAAAACACTGCATGAATACAATTAAAGATATCTTAAATGTGTCAGCAGCTGACTAATCAAATGCAAATACTATTAGTTTTAATTTAATTAAATATTTTTAAAATCATGTGATATTTTGGACTTTTATTATTTCAAAATGTTTTTTTATTGATTCATTTTAATTTAAAATGTTCATGGAAATATATTTTTATAATTGAAATCACTTAGATAAGGTACATTTATTAACCCTGTGACTGTGAAACTATCCATTAGAGTAATTGAGCGGGGCTAACATTATAATAAACCAGAAGTTATTCTAATCGCTGTTGAACTGCAGGGCAAGTTAACCAATGAAATATTAAGCGTCATTAAAAAATCCTCAGTTTTAATAACAAACTGATGGACGGTCTAATTGCAAATAGTGAGACTGATATTTAAATAATTCTTTGATTTAAACATACTATTGATTCATGTCAATATATGACATATTTTCATTTGTAAAAATAATGTCTAATGAAATTCAATTTAACAATCACATATTTATCTAAAGAATATTGTTTGTATAACCGTGACAATTTTGTTTCAAATACAAAACCACATTAATATATTTTTTTAAATTTATATTTTTTATTTATTTTTTGTGGGTTTGTGTCTTAGGGAATCTATATTTTTATAGCAAATGTTCTAAGTGAAAAATGTTGACATTATTTTTTGTCGCCGTGATCTGATCTCGTGCAGTCAGCATCCTTAAGAATTTTTCAGATTTTAAAACTGATTTTTTTCTCCCTGTACTGAGTGTTGAAAAATTTTATTTAGATCATTCCTATCTAAGTAAAAGAAAGATACCAAGTTATTATAACAATTTTATTAATCAAAATGTTGCTATTTTATCCTAAATGTATCCAAAGAACCCAAACTAGTTTAATAAAAACAAGAAAAGTTTAATGTTTTCCTAATAATTGTCTGTTTTACTTCTGATATTAAATGTAACTTTTATTGCTGAATGTGAATCTCATTAAACAATAGATAAAGGAAATATGTTGACATGCAAGATATTTGAAAATGTATTAGGAATGATCTTTAAACTAAACTCAGCTTTATTTGTTTTTTAAGGGACAAGACACCAAACAACTTGAAAACTGATACATAAAATAAATTAGGAAAAAATGAAATGTGTAAAATATTAATGAAAAAACTGCGACCACACAATAATCAGTCAATAAATGGAGTTTTGAAGGAATATATTTCAGTATTGCTTTTCTAAACAGGTCATCACTTCTGATCAGTGTTTCATGGGGGGGGGCAGATAGGGCCACCAAAAATCTTGGGGTGGCACACTGACACTAAAAGCCAAAATTTCAGGGTTTTAATCTACTATTGTGGTAAACCCGCCTGACTTGATTAAACAACTACTCATGTCTTGGTTAATTGTGTGATTTTTAATGTTGAACTGATACTACTGCAGTTTACACTGGCGAGTGGGGTGGCCAACCCCTGGTGGCGTCACTGCTTCTGATCCTGACTTAGTAGTAGCAGTTCTACAGAACAGAAACAGAAACAAAGGCTTGAAAACTGCCTCTAGCTTTAAACTAGACAGTTCAGGGAATAAGAAGCTTTGAATGTAATTTTGTAAAGAGCCGCGATGACCAGATGTATAACACAGACTTGATAAACAGCATTTAAAGCTTTATATGTCATAAGAATGTTATTAGATCTTATCCTTTACTTTAAAGTGGCAGCCCACTGCTCCCCAAGGGGATGGGTTAGATGCAGAGGTTAATTTCTCAAATGTGAGATATGTAGTATTAAACAAGCAAACAGCTGAAATAATTTAGCAATGATATTTTCAGGGTTTTTGAAGATGTCTTTTAGGGTCTCTCAGTCTGTTTTAGGATTCATTTGTTTGGATGGTCCCACCTGTTTTTCTTCTCATCAGTTCTTTTCAATGTCCCTGTTATGTGCCCCCAGGCACATTATGATTTTTGTCCATTTCTTTTTTTTGTTTGCTTATAAACTTTAGTTGAAGGATCCTTTTGTTAATATATTTTAGGATTCTTTAGTAAATTAATTATGTTAATTTGCGGTGCTGTCGTCCGCCTATAAATAGGCTGGCCTTCAGCACGTTGGCGTTCCTTGTGTTCCTTGTGTTCCTTGTGTTCCTTGCGTTCCTTGTGCGCTCGTTGCGCGTTCCTTTTTTTTTCCTACCTCGTTTGGGACGCCGCTTTCCACCTGTTCCTTTTGGTTCCAGCGTGGGCGGTGCGCACCTGTCTTT